TTTTTTTTTCCATGAGCATGACCTGTTCTTGATGAAATCTCATTATCTTTGCAATTATCATCATCTTCTTTTCTCGATGTTCAGTAGTTTTGGTCCAGACCTGTGATTTCACTGGTGCAGAAAATTCTTAGCAAGGAAACTCCCTCTGCCAATGCAGATCAGCAATTTACAGTCTTAGAGAGTTTCCTATGGCAAACAATCCAATCTACATTTGTTAATCTCCTACTATATCCTAGGCACTGTGCCAAGCACTGGGGATAATAAAAAGAAAGGTGGTACTGATGTGGATACAAATGGTACCCTAAAGGTTAAGGGTTGCTTTTCCAGTACTTTGTGAAAGTCGTGTAGCTTATTCTGTAACTTGAAGGTATCCTAAAGTCCTTTACACCTTATCTTGAACCTGTACCAAAAGAATTGCTTTTTGTGTCCCTTCTTCTGTGTTCCCCCATACTTTAATTTTTAACCTGTGTCCTCATGCCCTGTCCTTAAATCCTTAAACCATAAAGAATTCTCTTTGTCTCCTTCATCCTGTGTCATAAAATCCCTTCTTATTCTGTCTTTAATCTTTAAACCTCAAAACTACATCATCATTCTGAAACCTCTATATAAGCATAAATACCACAAATAATAGGGTCTCATTTAGCTTTCTGGCTGAGGAGACCCATGATGCTTTCTCATGTCATAAAGCTCCCAATGACTTTAGAGAAGCTCTAAGTGAATTCTTTCACACGTGAACCGCTCTCCCAAAATCTGACCTCAACAGTACCTGTCCTTAAGGAGGTTACAATCTAATGGGGGAGGGGCGGGAACACAACACATGAAAGGAAGTAGGAAAGGGGGGGAAGAAGGAGGAAATAGGGGCTTACCAGCATGGGGGTATCTTGTTCCATGAAGCTGAAAAAAACCAGTTAGGGCAGCAGATGCAGAGTGGAGTGCCCCCAACTCCAGTTCCTGCCCCTATAAAGGAAGCCATTGAGAGGAGTTTGGTTCTCCATCCTCCAGCCTTCCGGTCAGAGGCAAGAGGAGGCTGAGGGAGGTGGTATCAGTCAAGGCTTGAGTTAGCAGCCCCAGAATAAGATTAGAGGTGATTAGAGTTTACCCTGGGAGGGGCATCTTGTTTCATGGAATGGAAAAAAAAAACCAGGCAGGGCGGCAGATGCAGAGTAGAGTGTCAATGAAAAGTTAAATGACTTGCCCAAGGTCACTCATCTGAAGCTGAACACGAGGCCAGACCAGCTCTCTCTCCATTACGTTATGCTGCCTCTCAGATGTTTACTAACCACCTTTCAAATTCTCTTTTTCTAGAATTTTCTTGGGAATTGAAGTCAAGATCACCGGCTTACAATTTGCAGCTTCTAGTCTTTGTGGCACTTTGCTGCTACTCTCCATGCTTTTTCCTTATCAAAATGACAATGGCAGGCAATACTTAGTGTGTAGATCGCCTGGGCTCGTTGGCTTGGAACTCATTAAGGGCGGGTCTTACTGCCTTTTTGTTTATTATAATAGATAGCGACTCCTCTTAGTCATTTTTATTTTCTCTCTTCCAGCAGATTATGCTCCCTGGCAGAGAAAAGAGACAAAATGAGTATTTAGCAGATCTTCACTCTCTCTGCTGTCAAGTTACCACTTGATTCTGCAGAAGAAGTGCTCCTAGAGCTTCAGTGACCCTCTTTTTTCCAGTAAAGCTTAAAAAAGTCCATCCCCTTTCTCGAACTTTTCAAATTCTTTGCCAGTTTAGCTCATTCTTTGTTTTAATTTCTTTTTCATAGCCTTGATAGTGCTGTACCAGGTTTTGTATGCAGCTGTTATTGGACCTTGCACCAATCTCCTTAAAAAAAAAAACAAAACCAAAACTAAGGCAGTTTGTGAGTCTGTTCTGCCTTTATGTCAATCTCTTCAAAGGACTGACCTTCTTTCTAACCATAATTGTCTTCCTGCCTCTCCTAAGAATTTCCTTCTTGAGTTTCATTGGGTTCCTACCTATCCTAATAATAGCTAGCAATGAAAGCTAGCAGTTATACACTGCTTTAAGGTTTAGACACTTTACAAATATCTCATTTGCTCCTGAGATTTTGGGGCTATTGGTATCATCCCCATTTGACAGATGAGAAAAATGAAGCAGGCAGGGGAGTGACTTGCCCAGGGTCACGCAGCTAGAAAGTGTGTGACGCTGGATGTGAACTCAGGTCTTCTCTACCCCAGATCTAGCAGCTGGCTGCCTTCTTTGAACCCAAACGAAATATGCTCTCCGATAGTCCAGTGGGGCATAGTAGCATATGCTGGGCCTTCCTCCACTCATCACAAACTCTAGGAGGAAGTTACTTTTCCACAGAGCTGTCGTCACCTCCATCCCAGCAATCAGTTGCTCCTTTAGTGAGAACCAGAGCCATCTTCCATTAGCTGCATTCTTTGGATTCTACTCCATCATCATGATGCCCCTCCTTCCTCCTCTCCTTCCCTCTTTGGTACCCCCCCCCCCCCCCCCGCCCAAGCCCAAAGCTCATCACCAAGAAATCCATCATCACAGAGATTGCTCCAGCTTTGGTACTCACATCTCACACCCCATCACTATCCTCTGATTGAAAGCTCCCAAAGCTTCCTGTAGCTTTACTCTTTGGATTCCATTTCACCATAATCATACCTCCAGGCTGAGCCCCCTCCCTCTCCTGCTTTTTACCTTTATTTTGGGTATTGTCTTCCCCATTATAAACTCCTACAGGGCAGAGATGGTCTTTCCTTTCGTTTCTTTCTTTCTTTTTATTTTTGAGGCAATCAGGGTTAAGTGACTTGCCCAGGTTCACACAGCTAGCAAGTGTCAGGCTTCGATTTGAACTCCGGTCTTCCTGACTCCAGAGCTGGTATTCTATCCGTGAGCCACCTACCTGCCCTCCTTATTTATATCCCAAGCACTTGGCAAAGTGTCTGGCACATAGTAGGAACTTAATAAATGCCTACTGTATTACATATTGTAAAACTTCTCCCTGTGGGGATCATCTTCCCCTTTGATGGACGGTTGGTCAATGGTGGAGCCAAGACTTAAATTCTGGTCCTCTGACTCTAGGTACCATGTTCCCTTAAAAACAAAATGTATTTAAAAATAGGAGAAATAAACTACTCACAAAGAATTTTAAATTATGCCATAAGCAGAATTTAAAAAAAAAATCTGCTAAAACAAGGTTTGAGAAGCAAGTGAGAACAGAAGAGATGCTCTTCTGATACAAGAATAACAGCAGAAAAAATAGTGTACAATTACCCAGCGTGTAACGGTGCAGCTTAAGTTCATATTGTGGGTTGTCCATAGTTTATGCAGTAACAACTCCACACTCCAACATACTAAATCAGGGGTAGGGAGCCTGTGGCCTTCTAGGTCCTTGGGTGCAGCCTTTTGACTGAGTCCAAGCTTTACAGAACAAATCCTTTTATTAAAGGGATTTGTCCTATGAAGTTTGGATTCAGTCAAACGACCACACTTGAGGACCCAGAGGGCCAGACGTGGCCTCAAGGCCACAGGTTCCCCACCCCTGTAAATAAAACTGTTTTTAGCGCAGTGCTTATCCCAGTGCCTGCCACGTAGTAAGTACTTAATAAATGCTTCTTGACTGATTATGTTAAGAAAAAAGAAATAAAGGTGTAAGTCAGATTTTCCTTCATTTGACTGGCTTCATCTAAGTCTGGATGCACAGAAGAGCTTTGACAGAGGCAGAGTAAGCCAAAGGCAACATTTACTTTATCAGTTTTCCAAAATAAGATACCAAGACAATGACAGTAACATAAGACCACAAGAGGAACAAGGTCCTAATTACTACATACACACATAATTTTGAATTTAGGTGGAGGGGTGACCTTTTACAGATAACTCACAGAGAAAAGACAAATAAACAATTCCATACAAAAAATGGAACACATTCTCTACAATGTCTTCATTTTGCAGCCATGGTTTGTAGAAATTCTTCATGGTTTACTTGACCAACATGGTCCAAATTTGTTTCTCGGATTCCTTCGTCACACTATTAAGTTCTTTCTAAGATTTGGCATCACAAGATAATATTTTGCTGTACCAGTTAGACTTTCTTTTCCTTACCAAACATCTGCCTGCTTTCCTAATTTGTTTTTTGTTTTTTCATTTTTTTCTTCCATCATTATCAGAAATTCTACAAAGCCAATGATAAGCCAAGGACATGTAGTAGGAACTCATGGTTTCATATACAATTGTCTTTTTGTAAGCTATTGAAATATTTTGCTCATATTTAAATTTAAAGAAAATATACAAACATAAGCCAGTTGTGATTATGTCAACACCCACCTCATTAATCATATCCTGTAACACAGCTGCTGTGAGTTCTGCCCAAGTGACCTCATTATAGCACTTGATTTCTTTGTTAGAGTACTACGACATTGTCTTGGCTATCTCCTCTCCAAATAATCTTCAGCCTTGCTGCACAAATCATGAACAGGGCTGCTCTACCTTTTACTCAAAAGCATTCAGTGATTGCTCACTATTTGCTGACTCATCGATTCTGGCATTCGAGGTCACTTACAATAGGCTTCCCACTTGCTTGTCCAGTCCTATTTTATCCTGTTCCCCTTTTTGTGTCCCATATCTCCACCAAATGGAATTGAGTTTCAGGCCCCATTCTTGTTTTGTATTTTTGCATCTCCATGACTTGACCCCCACAATTCTCATCCACGAAATGAACTTGTTCCTTGTCCCCCACTATGTCCACCTGTTTAAGTACAACTTTCCTTCAAGGTTCAATTCAGATACCACCTCCTCTATGAAGCATAATAATAGCTAGCATTTATATAGCATTATAATGTTTGCAAAGCACTTTACAAATATAATCTCACGTGATCCTCACAACAACCCTGTGAGGTAGGTACTATTATGATCCCCATTTTACAGTTGAGGAAACTGAGGCAGACAAGTTGAATGACTTGTCCATGGTCACGCAGATAGTGTCTCAGACAAGATTTGAATTCAGATCTTCCTGCCTTCAGACTCAGCACTTTATCCACTGCCCTACCCCACCTAGCTGCCCCTAGAAAAAGCCTTCTCTGATTATCTCTTATCATCCAGATGAAAGTGATCTGTCTCCTTCAAGCTGTCTTAGTATTTTGCCTAGACCTTTCATTTGTACATGCAGTTTGCCCTTTTATCATAGTTACTGGTATACCCAACCTTTCCCCATTGGAGTGCAGTCTCTTTGAATGCGGAACCAACCACATATTTATCTTTGTATCACCAGCCCCTAAAATAATGCCTTGAACCTTGTACGTGCTTAATAAATGTATGGTAAATTTGATTAAATGTTTGCTTCACTACTTCCAAATGAAGACCGCAATGACAGAGAAAGGAGAATATGGACAGTGATTAGCTGGCTAACATGGCAGCAGGCAATGGAATCTGACTTTTGGTATTATTCAAGATTCAAGATGCATGAATGATGGATGGAGAGCATCTAGTAAGGACCAATATTTGGGTCATAAAGAACATATTTGGGGGGAAATCCTTATTTGATAGTAAGAAGTTTGGTTAAAAATGGAGAAAGGGAGAGAGTAAGAAAAGTGCCTAGACACAATTTTTAAACCAGAAACTACAAAAAGCATCAGCTATATATGATGAAATAGTAATTTAAAAAAGAATGGTATGAGGTGTCCAGTAATGCTAAAAAGCAAACAATTGGGCAAAGAGGAAGAAATGACAGAGTATCTAGAGGAATGCAACCAGGATGGTGAATGGCCTCAATTTTATGCAATTCAAGAATCCATTGAAGTAATTACAGATGTTTCCCACAGAAGGAAGAATAGTAAAACCAGGCATGCAGTTAAAACAAAAGGCTAGACTTTAAGTCAGGAAGACCTGGGTTCAAGTCTTGCCTCTGATACATATTAGTTACATGACCATGGACAAGTCACTTAACCTCTCCAAAACCCTAAGCCACTCTAAAAGTGTAAGCTACAGAACATTTGCTGATGTGCACTGGTGGAAAGAATTTTCATATTAGCAGGTTCCCACACTAATGAAATCACAGGTCAGGACAAATATTAGTGGTTAAGCCATCAGCTAAATTGAAAAAGAGGGGGAGAGAGAGGGAGAGAGACAGAGAGACAGAGAGAAAGAGAGAGACACACAGAGAGAGAGAGAGAGAGAGAGAGAGAGAGAGAGAGAGAGAGATCAAATGGCCAAAATGAAAATAACCAATGTGAATTTATAATGAACAGACAAAATATTATCAGAAACTACTATACACAATGAAGATGCTGGAAAGACTAAAAATTTAAAGAAAGTGGGTCATTTACAAAAACATAAATTAATAATATTACCAAAACAAAAAACAGGGGTGCCAGATAACCCAGTCTTACATACTGAAGTTGAATGAGCCATAATTGAGCTACCAAACAAAAACTTCTGGTCCAAACGGATAGCAAGTGAATTCTTAAAAACTTATTTAAGGAGCATTTTAAAAACTTTTCTCAATAATAAAGAAGGCACTCTACCAATCTCATTTTATGAGACATAAATGGTCCTGATACCTAAACCAGGAAGGGATAAAGCAGAGAAAAAAACTAAAGATTAATGTATTGATGCAAAATGTTTAAATAACATTTAACAGAGATTACAGCTATATATCCCAAAATTACTCATTAGTTTCTAGTTGGATTTACACCAGGGATGCAAGGTTAGCGCAAGATTAAGAAATCATTACAGATATAGAGTTTTTATCCAGCATGAATTTTCTGATATTTAATAAGCCATTTTATCTGTTTGAAGGGTTTCACATACTCATTACACTCATTTTTTGTAAGAATGTATGAGTTCACAGATGATTTATAGCACTCAAGTTGTTGCTGATGACTTTGACTCACTGTATTTATAGACTTCCTTCTCTATAGGTTTTTGATGGCTCTTAAGGTTTGAGTTGTTGCTGAATGCTTTATCACATTCACTACATTCATATGGTTTCTCTTTAGTGTGAACAACTTCATAATAAAATTATATTTCATATACTCTCATTCACGGAGATTCTTTGATATAAACTACTTTATACTTTTTGTTTCTAAGATTTGAGCTGTTGCTGTAGGATTTCCCACATTCATTACACTCACAGAGTTTTTTATAGTAAGATTTCTCTGATGACACGGGATATTCTATGACCAAAGATTTTCCCACATTCATTACATTCATAAGGTTTTTATGCAGTATGAGTCTTCTGATGATAAAAAAAGGATGTCCTACGACTAAAGGTTTTTCCACATTCACTGCATTCAAAGGGTTTTGCTCCAGTATGAATTCTCTGATGTTCACTAAGTCTTTCCTTCCGTGTAAAGGCTTTCCCACATTCACTACATTCATAGGGTATCACTCCAGTATGAATTCTCTGATGCTCACTAAGTCTTTCCTTCCGTGTAAAGGCTTTCCCACACTGCTTGCATTCATAGGGTTTCTCTCCAGTATGAATTTTCATATGTTCATTAAGCTGTCCACTTTGTGTGAAGGCTTTGCCACACTGACTACATTCATAGGGTTTCTCTCCAGTATGAATTTTCTCATGTTCACCAAGTCGTCCCTTATGTGTGAAGGCTTTCCCACAGTGACTACATTTGAAAGGTTTTAAACCAGAATGAATTCTCAGATGTTCAGTAAGTTGTCCACTTTGTGTGAAGGATTTCCCACATTCAGCACATTTATGAGGTTTCTCACCAGTATGAATCTTCAAATGCTCAGTAAGCCGTGCCTTCACTATGAAACCTTTCCCACACTGATCACATTCGTAGGGTCTCTCTCCAGTATGAATTTTCAGATGGTCATTAAGTCGTCCTTTCAGTGTGAAGGCTTTCCCACAATGATCACATTCATAGGGTTTCACTCCAGTATGAATTTTCTGATGTCCGTTAAGTAGTGCCTTCTTTATAAAAGCTTTCCCACACTGATTACATTTATAGGGTTTCTCTCCTGTATGAACTTTTTGATGGTCAATAAGGTGTGACTTTTGGATGAAACCTTTCCCACATTCACTACATTTGTGGGGTTTATCTGCTGAATGAATTTTCTTATGATCAGTAAGTCGTCCCTTTCCTGAGAAAGCTTTCCCACATTCATGGCATTTATAAGGTTTCTCTCCAGTATGAATTTTTTGATGTTCACGAAGTTGTCCCCTCTGTCTGAAGGCTTTCCCACATTGTTTACATTCATAGGGTTTCTCTCCAGTATGAACATTCTGATGTTCAAGAAGTGTACCCTTCTGTATGAAGGCCTTTCCACATTCATTACATTCATAGGGCTTGTCTCCTGTATGAACTTTCTGGTGTTCATTAAGCCGCCCTCTTCCAGTGAAGCCTTTCCCACATTCATGGCATTTATAAGGCTTCGTTCCTGTATGAACTTTCTGATGTTCATTAAGTCTTCCCTGTGCTGTGAAGGCTCTCCCGCATTCATCACACTCAAAGGGTTTCTCTCCATTATGAATTTTCTTATGTTCAGAAAGTCCTGTGCTTCGTGTGAAGGTTTTCCCACATTCGTTACATCTATTGCGTTTGTCTTTAGTATAGCTTCTCTGATGTTCAGTATGGGGTTTCCTAGGCATGTCATCCTTCCTACATTTATTATCCTTGCCAAGTTTTTCTCCATTACATCTCTCATGGTTTTGAGGAGAATCCGTGTGGTTACTGAAAGTTTGCTTATCATTATTATACTTACAAATATTCTTCCCAAAGGAAATTTTACTATGTTTAATTAGTTCTGAAAGCTGTCTGAAGAAGTTCTCTCTAGATATATCACATTTATGGACAGTTCTTTCCACTGGAACTGACTGTTGTGAAGTAGGTGATGACACTGGGCTACATTTTCGCTCAAATGTATTGCAGTTATGGGCCTTTGGTTCACTGGAAGTTTTGCTGTGATTGAGTGCTTCCTTCTTGGATTGTTTTTCCAGTTTTTCCTTCTGTATCTCTGGCTTGCTATTGCCTCCTGAAACTTTTCTAAGTTTTGAATCCTGTGAATTATCTTTTGTGCATTTTCTCTTAGAGGATTCTCTTACACAGAGATCCTGCTTTGCAGTTGACTTCTTGGTCCCACAGATAGTCTTGTGATGAAGGGAATCTGAAAAAAAATCCAAAAAAGCATGAATATGGACTGTTTGCTATGGTGGGAGAAAGGGAAATGCTTTATAGTATATTATAGAGTCTGTCTCTTTCATCAAGGAAAATGATGCACAATCTGGATATTGGATAAATGAAAAGGACTTGGTTGTAGGCAGTAGGGAATGAGCCAGTAGAGAGGGAAAGATTAAAAATAAATGAAAGAGTAGGGATGACAGAGGGAAGGGGCAATCTATTGGAGGAGATGGGATGGAATGGGATCACTTGGATAAGCAGATTAGCCTTGGTAAGGAGTAAGGCCACTTCATCATATGAGACAGGGTTGAAGTAGGAGAGAGGAGCAGAAGACATCTGAGTGGTAAGAGAAGAGGATGAGGGGAGAGGAGGGAGCTCACAGAGAAGAACCTTGGTTTTTTCTCGAAAATATAAGGCAAGGTTCTCAGCTGAAGGCAGAGGAAAGGGGAGCCCTGGGAAGTATGAGGAAGGATGAAAAGGTTTGGAAGAGCTGCCATGGATAGTGGGACAGCGAACTGATAAAGGAGACGTAGAAGGATTGCCTGGCAGCAGTGAGGGCCCATACATAAATCTGTAGTGCCTTGCCCAATGTAAAGTAGAATGAGTCACCTGGGAAGGGAGTGGGTTCCCTTTCCCTGGGGGGTCTCCAAGCTGATGTTGGATGACTCAGGAGACCTGAAGACCCCATGGTTCCTTTCCAACCCAAATTCTGAGATGACGATTGAGGATAAGGAAAGGAAAAAGGGCAGCTAGGGGGCACAGTGGATAGAATTCCAGGCCTGCAGTCAGGAAGACCTGAGTTTGAATCTAGCCTCAGACAATTCCCAGCTGTGTGACCTTGAGCAGGTCACTTAACCCTGTTTTCTTCAGTTTCCTCATGTGTAAAATAAGCTAGAGAAGGAAATGGCAAAACATTCCAGTATCTTTACCAAGAAAACCCCAAACAGGGTCACAAAGAGTTGGATGTGACTGAAACGACTGAACAACAACAAAAAAGGGAAAAGGACAAGGAAAATGAAGGAAACAAGTAATTATATCGTGCCCACTATGGGGCAGAAACTGTGCTAAGTGCTTTTTATAAATACTATCTCATTTGATCCTCACAACAACCCTGGGAGGTATGTGCTATTACTATTCCCATTATACAGTTGAGGAAACTGAGGCAACATAGGTTACATGGTTTGTTCAGGGTCACAGAGCTAGTGAGTGTCTGAGGCTAGATTTGAACTCTGGTCTTCCTGACTCTAGGCCCAGAGCTCTATCCACTTCACCACCTAGCTGCCTCTATGGAACAGGAAGGAAAGAGCGTGCAGAGTACAACTGGAGTGACAAGTGTGAGAAAAAGAATGAACCCCCCTTTCTTGGGGCCTGGAGATAAACAAGAAGTGAGAGATACCAAGGAAGCAATTGGTTGGAGGCTCTATGAAGGCCCTCATGCTCGACCGCCTTTGGCTTTCTCCAGAGCCCTTGCATCTTTAAGGAGCACTACCTGGCAGGTTATCTCCAGGTGCTAACACCTGGCTGGGCTGCTGCTCGCAAGAACTTGTGTTTGCCCAAGCGTTTTCTTCCCCTTAATTTATTATGTATTTATTTTCAACATCCCTTTTTATTTTTTTTTTAATTCTGAGTTCCAAATTTTCTTCCTCCCTGAAGTCCCTCCCCCACCCACTGAGAAGGCAAGCAATGTATTATATGTATGAAATCATGCAAAACATATTTCCCTAAGAGCTATGTCCCAAAAAAGCAAGAAAAATTAAAAAGTGAGAAAATTATACTTGTTTGCATTCAGAGCTAATCAGTTCTGTCTCTGGAGGTAGATAGCATTTTTCATCATAAATCCTTCAGAATTTTAGAACTCAGAATCAAGGATCATTATATTGATCAAAGTAGCCAAGTCTTTCAAAATTGATCATTGTTCCAATCTTGCTGTTACTATGTACAATGTTCTCCCACATAGGCTCACTTCCCCTTGCATCAGTTCACGTGAATCTTCCCAGGTTTTTCTGAAACCATCCCTCTCGTCATTCCTTATAGCACAATAGTATTCCATCACACCCATACACCACAACTTGTTCTCCCATTCCCTGCCTGATGAGCATCCCCTCAATTTCCAATTCTTTGCCACCGTTAAAGAGCTGCTATAAATATTTTGTACATATAGGTCCTTTTCCTTTTCCTTTGATCTCTTTGGGTACAGATCTGGGGCGGGATTGCTGAGTCAAAGGGTGTGCACAGTGTTTATCCAGTCTCGGCTCACTCTCTCACCCACCTTTTGGGATATGTCCTGCTGGAATACATGGCACTTCTCCTTGCTCCAGCCGGGAGATCACTTCTGGTTTAAAAGATTGAAGCCCTGTTTGTAGGGAAATAAATGGAAAGATTATGGAGAAAGAGAGTCATCTCAGCATTCAAAGCCTGCCTTCTTTTCTGCAGTAACATGAGGGCGAACTAGGAAGCTTAAAGGGGGACACAGAAGACCCAGCCTGGAGAATACTCCAGACCACATTCCCAGGAAGTCTGGTCTGGGAGGAAGGGGGTGGGCCACAGGGTTGACTGGGGCTGAAGGAAAAGCAGTTCATTTTAACTCACTCCTTCCTGGTGGGGATGGAGGGTGCTTTTAATGTTTTCAGGAAGCTGCCCTGAAACTTTAGGGGAGATATTTTGAGCTGAAGGTATGGCTCCAGCAAGGCAGAGATGTTTCTCCTGTGAACAGGGATCAGACATCTTGGGTTTGGGCTCTGAAGTATGTAGGCATCTCCCTCCATTATTATATGGATTCTTGACTCACCCTGCACATCAAGCCAAGACTCAGACCTTCCCCCCTCCCTCAGCCTCCAACCCCAGCTCTTAGGAAACAAGGATATAAAGACATCCATCCCAAAGGCAGACAGATTCTGAGTCCCAGGAGAGAGTGCTCCGTACCCAGGGAGACCAGGTTCTTGTAGTTCTCCAGCATCACATCCTTGTACAGGTCCCTCTGAGCAGGTTTCAGCTGTTTCCACTCAGACCGGGAGAAGTCCACAGACACATCTTCGAAGGTCACCAATCCCTGAAACATCAGGCACATTCCTGATCACTTGGGAACCATTCATTCACAGGAGCCACAGAGGACACAAAGTTGGTAGGAGGGAGAGAGAACAGTCATCCCACCAAGGAAGGCTTCTGAGTTATCGATGTCAAACAACCACTGAGAACATAAGGACAAGGGGGCCCACTTTAGGCCTGCGTGTCAAGAGCTTTATTTTGCTGAGTAAGCTCAACCTCCCAAAATATACCCAAGGGAAACAAGTACTCTACTGAAACCTCCAAAGTGTATAATTAACATAGACAAGATACAGCTTATAATAAAGCTAGACTAACAACTATACTCAAATACAAATATTGTTTATTAGCTTTAATTAAAATAACACTCATTCTTCTCGCCAGGGGTGTTGTAAGGCTCAAATGAGATAATGGATGTGAATCCTTTTCATAAACCTTATGGGTCTTATATAAATTTCAGATATCCTTATCATCATCATCATTATTATTAGCATAAAGACAACAGGCCTTCCATCCGGTCATGACTTTACTCCCTTCTCCTGCATTCCTGAGCTCAAGCAATTTTTATAGAACAAAACTGGAGTATTGTGGTAAATGACTCTCCAAAGAAAAAAAAATTATGCACGCGCTCTTAAATTTAATCTACGTTATGAACACTTTTCTCAAGTCTAGACAATCGACCAAACAAAATCATGCCCTAGTTTGTAGTGACTAGGGATTTCTAAGGTGTGGGTGCTCATGCCGAAAATGTAATGATCTGTGGCAAACTGGTTAGAACTATGCCAATCTTGTTTTGGGCAGAGTCACTTAAAAAGTAGATAAGGCTCTAAACGAGTTGAGAAAGGCAGTAACAATTCTGGAGGGGCAGGTCCTCACACGGAATCTTCCCCTGCCATTCTCTATGGGCACCACTAGCATGGAGGAGAAAAGGACGGAAAATCTAACGCCAGCAAGCCTGGAGTGCAGAGAGAACGTGACAGTGACCAGTATGGGGTGCGCATTGCTTGTGTTTAAAGCTGCCACAGCTGAATGACAGACTGCCCTTCTCAGGCTGATCTCTCTCCTAAAAGACAGGGTCAAGTACCCCAGAGCCTCTTCACAGTCTGGATTACCAGAGAACGAAGTCTTCTTTTGCAAGATGGGAGTAAGGCTTCAATGTGCCAACAAAGAAGAGAAGGATGCTGAGGAGGCAGAGGGAATCCTTACATAAGTAGGGAGCTGGGAATGAGAAAGAATGTGTGGCCAGTGGGAAGAGCCCCGGGGCTTTCTCCAAAAGAAGGCTCGTGAGCCACTCAGATCCCTCAGATCCCGGCCAGAAAGAAGCTCCTCCTTTGCCAAAGCGGAGAAGCCGACAACCTCTTCACTTGCTTTCATCGTAATTCCAACCTTCGAAAGGGGAAGGGACCAGCGATGAAGGCAACCGCTGTCTGGATTCTGATTCTCACCAGCAACCCGTCCATCAGACATCTGCAAAGCCCCTGCTATGTGTCAGGCACTAAAGATGCAGCTACCACAGGGAGACAGCGCTTGTCTTCAGGCACTTACATTCTCCTGGAAGGGGGAGCGGGGAGGGACATGGGCACAGACCACGTTCCCTGATAAGGAAATATGAGACAGAGACAAAATCAACACAAAATGGCTGGTCCAGAAGACTTTTAATGCCCTGTCCAGAGCTTCAGTGACCGAGAAACTCTGGGAACTCGGCACCATTTACCAGAACAAGCCATGGCTCCTGGATGAGAACAGTGGGAGTGCAGGGCTCTGGATGGAACTGGTCTAGAGCAGAGACAAAGGAGAGCGAGAAGCCCATTCCCCGAATGATGCCTGGGAACGCCAGGAGGGAAAATGAGCCCCACTCACCTGAATTCTGGCCAAGCGGACTGCAGCAGCTGCTCTTCTCTTGTGACCTCTTCTCTTATGATCCTCCTTCATGTTCTGGTCTCCAGAAGGTGGAGCTAGGAATAGGAAAAAGAATCATGGGGAAACAATCCCTTCTTTCAAGTGGCGGACTCACCAGGTCACAGATCCCTGCACACTGACTGGGGGTGATTCCCCTAGAGAATCTAAAGGGAAAGGGACTGGACCTGAGACTGCATTGGCATGGGGCATTCCAGTGTGAGAAACTCCTTCTACCGGTGCAGGTGGGCACCTTCTCTTCCCCGTACAGTCTGATGTATTTATCTGTTACATTTTGAGTTCTGAGTTGTCTCCCTCCCTCCCAACCCTTCATTAGGGAAGGCCAACATTTCATATAGATACATATGGGGAACCGCACAATACATACTACCATAGATCCGTCCCTTCTCTGGAGGTGCACGGCACTTTCCTTAAGTCCTTCACGGTTGATGTGAAGGTTCATATCACTCAGAACAGCTCAGTCATTCACGATTACTCTTGGAACAATATTGCTTTTGCTGTGCACAATGTTCTCTTGGTTCTGCTCATTTTACTCTGCATTATTTCATATAAGTCTTTCTATGATTTTCTAAAATCAACCTGTTCATCATTTTCTTACAGTACAGTAGTATTCCATCACAATCACACAACACAATCACAACTTGCTCAGCCGTTCCCCAATTGATGGGCTTCCCCACAATTTCCAATTATCGCCACCACAAAAAGAGCTGCTATAAACATTTTAGAACCCATAGGTTCTTTTCCTTTTCCCTGATCATCTTGGGAAATAGACGTAATAATGATATTGCTGGGCCAAAGGGCAGACACTGTTTTATAACTCCTTGGGTATAATTCCAAATTGCTCTCTAAAATGGCAGGATCAGTTCACAGTTCCACCAACAGTGTATTAGTGTCCCAACTCTTCCACATCCCCTCCAACATTTTCATTTTCCCCTTCTATCATTTCAGCCAATCTGATAGGTATAAGATGATATTTCCATGCTATTTAAATTTGTATTTCTCCCCAATCAATAATGATACATAGCATTTTTTCATATGACTACATATGACTACATATAGCTTTGATTTCTTCTTCCAAAGATTGCCTGTCCATATCTTCTGACCATTATCTAGTGGGGAATGACTCATATTCTTTTTTTTAATATCTTATTTTCCCCCGTTACATGTAAAACAATTTTAAACATCTGTTGTTAAGTTTTGAGCTCCAAATTCTATCCCTCCCTCCCCGAGACAGTAAGTGATCTAATATAGGTTATACATGTGTAATCATGTAGAACATTTCCATATTAGTCATTTGTGGAAAAAAACAAGAGAAAGAGAGAGAGAGAGAGAGAGGAAGAGAGAGAGAGAGAAAGAAAGAAAAGAAAAAAGAAGGAAAGTGAAAAATAGTATGCTTCAATCTGTATTCCAACTCCATCAGCTCTTTCTCTGGAGATGGATAGCAGTTTTCATCATGAGTCCTTTAGGATTGTCTTGGATCATTGTAATGCCGAGGACAGCTAAGGAATGACTCATATTCTTCTAAATCTGACTCAGTTCTCCATATATTTGAGATATGAGGCTTTTAACTAAGAAACTGGTTATAAAATTTTTTTCACCTAATTTTCTGTTTTTCTTTTAATCTTGGCTACATTGGTTTTATTTATACAACAGCGTTTAACGTAATCAAAATTATCCATTTTACATTCCTCAATGCCCTTTATCTCTTATTTATTCATAAATTATTTTCCTATCTACTAATCTTATAGGTAATATGTTTCATGCTTCTCTAATTTACTTATGACATTTCCCTTTATGTCTACCTCATGTACCAATTTTGACAGTATCTTACTTAGTAAATGGTGTAAGATAGTGGTCTATACCTAATTTGTGCCAGATGGCTTTCCAGTTTTCCCATCAATTATTACCAAATAGTGAGTTCTTATCCCAAAAGCTTAGATCTTTAAGCTTAGATCTTTATGTTTATCAAACATAAGGTCATTATACTCATTTATGTACACCTAATTCTGATCCACCATTGTTTCTTAGTCAGTACCAGATAGTTGTGATAACTGCTATAAGCCATTCTCTTTCTTTTTTTTTTAATTTTAATTTTTAGGCAATTGGGGTTAAGTGACTTGCCCAGGGTCACACAGCTAGTAAATGTCAAGTATTTGGCCTGAGATTTGAACTCAGGTCCTCCTGACTTCAGGGCCGGTGCTCTATCCAGGGCGCCACCTCGCTGCCCCTCTAAGCCATTCTCAACAAGTGACAGGCCAACTGTACCATTGAGATGATTTCAGGACAAGACAGCAGAAAGCTTTCGGAGGGAAAGGTTTCCAAGAACAAAGCTGATAATCACTGGTAACAGTACTATGCGCTTTCCTCTCCTCCTGGAAATAGATAGCATGTTTTTATATGCAGCAGAGTTGGAATGGGATATGTAGAATCACCATCAAAGACACCCAACATTCACACTCATTGAGTGAGCTAGGGAGACCTTTTATCCCCTAATGTATATCCACTGTGTAGAGGCAATAGGGTGGTTCTGGGATAGGAGATGACAGAAAATGTCGGTGCCGTCTTCATGAAAGATTCCCCAGAAAATGTTGGTGCCATCTTCATGAAAGATTCCCCAGAAAATGTTGGTGCCATCTTCATGAAAGATTCCCCAGTACCCTCTTGCTTATGGGGAATAGGTGAATGGAGTAAAGGCAGACCCTACAGAATTGAAGGGAGACTCAGGCAGTAAGAATGGAGCTCACGTATCCAAAATGAGATCATTTAGAAAGGCCAGAAAAGGCCATGCTGATAGCAGGTCTCCAATATGACAAAATGTAGCCGCAGACTTATTCTACACCTCCTCTCCTCTCCTCAACCAGGTATGACTCACTAACAAGTTTCCTTCTGTATGACAAAGAGACCAAGGACAGGGGGAAAGGACCCATATGTACAAAAAATATTTAAAGCAGCTCTTTTGTAACGGCAAGGAACTAAGAAGTGAGGGAATGCCCATCAATTTGGGAATGGCTGAGCGAGTCATGGTGTATAAGTATCACGGAACAGTGTTGTGCTCTAAGAGATGATGAAGACAGTGGTGTCAGAGAAGCTCGGGAAGACTTGTATGAACTGATACAGGGGGCGGTGAGCAGAATGATTTATACCATCACAACAATCTGATAAAGACAAACAACTCTGCAAGACTTCAGAACACTGATCAATGCGATGATCGATCAGAACTCAAGAAGGCTGACTGTGCATTCTGTGCATTGTACCTCCTCGCTGTCTACATTTTTATTACAGGCAAACATGGAAATATAAATGGCTAAATTATTATGCTGAACTTTTAAGACTCAAGACCTAAAAGAGAAAAACAGCTAGCATTTATTAGCACTTACTGGTGTGTGAAAACACTTTTCACACGTTATCTCATTTGATTTTAATAACTCTATGAGGTAGATACTCTAAGGATTATATTTTTGGATGGAAACTGGCATTAGAGAAATTAAGTGACGTGCCCACGGTCATGCAGCTAATTAAATGTCTGAAGCAAGATTTGAACTCAAGTCTCTTCTGACTTGAAATCCAGCAAACATGCCACTATGCCTTCTTGTTTCCCACAACCTTAATCGACTGACTATCCCAAGATGTAATTTAATAAGGACAATCACCCAAGTGCTTCATTAAATACTGCATGTGAAGGCAACCTGACGGTTTTAATAAGTTACTCAATTATTATATATATTATTATAATTGTTATTAATAATATTAATACTTTTAAGATTTGCAAAGCATTTTACAAATATTAACTCATCTTAGTCTCACAATAACACTGGGAAGTAGGTACTATTATTTTCCCCACTTTACATCTGGGGAAACTAAGGCAGGTTAAGCGACTTGCCCAGTATCAACAACTACTAAGTATCTGAGGATGGATTTGAACTCAGGCCTCTCAGACCCAGGTCCAGGACTCTAATGTTTTACTAGGTGGCTAGGTCGACAGGAGGCAACAGTGAGGCACGGTAGCTGAAGAGCTCCTCCCAGGAAGGCCGCATGGGGCCCAGAAGGGAAGTCATCACCCTGCTACCGATGCTCCATTCTGGTACCACTTTTTGGGAAGAAGGCTGGCCAGCTCAAAGGACATGACCAGGCTGCTGAGGGAATGAGACTCCCTCTCAGGAGACGGCCTTGTTCCTCCTGAGGTTTCTCTGTTCTCGTCTCTCCAACCCTGTGGAGACGGAGATGAGACCCAGCATTCTCACCTTTCTCCTTGGGCGCCTTCCTCCCCGACATCTTCTTGATGCTCTCACTTTCCCCAGGGGCGGGAGAATCAGGGACCACTGGCCCACAGGCAGCTCCAAGATCTGCTCTCTCCTGGCTCTGACCGGGTCAGGACACGGGCTGGAAGACTTCTCTCAGAGTTCTCCCTTCACTTTCCTGCAGAACCGGAGTCTGGGGGCCAAACCAAAATCACTCGATTCAGTAACCATTTATCAGGCCATACACAAAAGCGTTTCTTGTCCTCAGGAAGCTTACATTCTACTGGGAGAGAGGAGGAGGAGGGTGTGAGACCACACGTACACAAGAAGTAAAATAACTTAGTGTAGGAGAAAGCGATGACAACCGGGGGAGCTGGGAAGCCTTCATGGAGGAGGCGGCGACACAGCTGAACCTTCAAGGAAGATTCAACACTCGTGAGGCACATGAAGGGCCAGGGCATCGAAGGAAAGGGAAACACCCAGTGCTGGGAATAGCCAGGAGCCCCGTCTGGCGGCAGGAACCCCGTCTGGCGGGCGTCCGGGCTACACCAGGGTAAATGGTGTGACACAAGCCCAGGAGTGTGCCCGTAAGACGGCAGAGGCAGTGGAGGCCGGGCCCACGAGTTCGTGTGGTGGCCGGGAGGCAGCGGGAAGCCACTGAAAACGTCTCGGCAAGGGAGGGGCCCAGTGTGCCCTCCGAGGACTGTCTGGGCACCCGTGTAGTGCTGCTGCAGATGCCGAGGCCTCCCTTCCATCCACCAGACTGACTAAGGAGACAGAATGAAAATGACTCCGTGGGAGAGACGGAGGAAAAATAGGCACATCTGTACCTTAGGCTCCACTTACCGGTGGAGCTGTGAAACGGTCCAGCCATTCTGGGAAACAATGTGGAACTAAGCCTAAAGAGGCATCAAACTGTACCTATCCTTTGGCCTGTCAATATCACTACTAGGCTTACTCCTCAGAGATCAAAGAGAGAGGCAGAGGACTCATATGTACGGAAATAATAATTATAATCATTTTGGGGGGGTCAGTTGTGTCTGACTCTTCATGATGTCATTTGGGGTTTTCTTGGCAGAGAGACTGGAATGGATTGCCATTTCCTTCTCCGGCTAATTTTATAGATGAGGAAACTGAGGCAAACAGGGTTAAATGACTTGCCCAGGGTCACAAAGCTACTAAGTGTCTGAGGCCAGATTTGAATTCAGGTCCTCCTGACTCCAGGGTTGGCACTCTGTCTACTGCACCACCTAGACATAATTACAGTAGTTCTTTTCGTAGCAACAAAGAACTTAGAAGAAATTGGATGCTCACAAATAAGACAATGGCTTAAGAAATTATGTCGTATGATTTGAAATAGCTACAGAATACATAAAATACTCGGGAGTCTACCTGCAAGACACACTTAGGAACCATATGAGTATAACTACAAAACATTCTTTATAGAGATAAAGGCCGACATAAATAATTGGAGAAATCTTAATTGCTTACGGGTAGGCTGAACTAGGGCAGCTAGGTGGTGCAGTGGATAGAATGCTGGGCCTGGAGTCAGGAAGACTTATTTTTTTGAGTTCAAATTCTAGCCTCAGACACTTAGTAGCTGGGTGACCCTAGGCAAGTCACTTAACCCTGTTTGCCTCAGTTTCCTCATCTGTAAAATGAGCTGGGCAAGGAAATGGCAAACCACTCCAATATCTTGGCCAAGAAAAACCCAAAATGGGGTCATGAAGGGTAAGACATGGTTGAAAATGACTGAACAACAACAACAAATGAACCGACATAATAAAAATGACAATACTAGTTAAATTAATTCACTTACTCAATGCCACACCAATTAAACTACCAAAGGTTTGCTTTACAGAGCGAAAAAAAAAAAACCCAAACTATTAACAAAGTTCATGTGGAAGAACAAAAGATCAAAAATCTCAAGGATATGACTGAAAACTGAACAACAGTAACAAATTGAACACTGAAATAGAATTTTGAAAATCAAAGGAGAGATGAACAAAATTCAAAGTAAAAAAAGCAAACCGCCATTGAACTAATAAATAAAACGAATGGGTGTGTTGTTAAAAAAAACAATGAAATAGATAAACTATTGGTTAATTTGATTAAAAAAGAAAACAAAATTACCAGTATCAAAAATGAAGCAAGTGAATGCATTTCCAACAAAGATGAAATAATAGCAATTATTTGGAGTTATTTTGCCCAATTATATGCCAATAAAACTGACAAGCTAAGCAAAATCAGTGAATATTTACAAAAATATAAACTTCCCAGATTAACAGAAAAATAGAATACTTAAAGAACCCTATGTTAAAAAAAAGAAATCGAACAAGTCATAAATGAGCTCCCTAAGAAAAAATCTCCAGGACCAGATGGATTAACAAGTGAATTCAACCAAACATTCAAGGAATAATTAATTCTAATACTACATAAACTATTTGAAAAAACAGATAAAGAAGGACTCCTACTGAATGCCTTTGATTACACAAATACGGTTTTGATGCCTAAACCAGGGAGAACAAAAACAGAGAAAGAAAACTATAGGCCAATTTACCTAATGAGAATTGATGCAAAAAATTTAAATAAAATACCAGCAAGGAGAGTATAGCAATGTATTACAAAGATCACACACTACAACCGGTTGGGATTCTTACCAGGAATGCGGGCCTGGTTCAATATTAGGAAAACTATAGGTATAATTGACCGTATCTATAACAAAAATAACAAATCGCATGATTGTATCAGTAGATGCAAAAAAAAGCTTTTTGACAAAATACAACATTCATTTCAATGAAAAACACTAGAAAACACAGGAATAAATGGAGCTTTTCTTAAAATGATTAATATCTATCTAAAACTAAGAGCAAGTGTTATCTGTAATTGGAATAAAATAGAAGCCTTCCCAGTAAGATTAGAGGTGAAGCAAGCATGGCCATTATCACCATTATTATTCAATATTATACCAGAAATGCTAGCCATAGCAATAAGACAATAAAGAGAAATTAAAGAACAAGAAGAGGCAACTAGGAAACACAACTATGACTCTTTGCAGATCTTTGTTGTACTTAGAGAACCTTAGGGAATCAGCTAAAAAAATTAGTTGAAACAATGAACAACTTTAGCAAAGTTGTAGGATGTAAAATAACCCCACATGAATCATAAGCATTTCTATATTTTACCAACAAAGGAGGAAGAGATAAAAAGGGAAATTCCATTTAAGATAACTGCAGATAGTATAAAATATTCTGGAGTCAACCTTCCAAGACATGCACAGGAAATATAGGAACACAATTACAAAACACTTTTCACACAAATACATATCTAAACAATTGGAGAAATATTAACTGCTCATAGATAGGCTGAGCCAATATAATAAAAATGATGATTCCACTGAAATTAATTTACTTATTGAGTATAATACCACTCAAACTACCAAAGAATTATTTTGTAAAGCTAGAAAAAATAGTAACAAAATTCATCTGAAAGAACAAATAGACAAAAATATCAAAGGAATCACTGGGGAAAAAAGTGAAGGAAAGTGGCTTAGCAGTATCAGATTTAAAACTACATTTTAAAGCACTAATCATCAAAACAATATGATATTGGATAAGAAACAAGAGTTGCTGATTAGTGGAATTGATTAGGTACACAATGACCATACTTATCTTTGGGGCTGGATAACCTCAAAGATCCAACTTTGTGGGCCAGAACTCATGATTTTACAAAAACTGCTAGGAAAACTGTAAAGCAGTCTGGCAGAAACTAGGCATAGACCAACATCTCAGACCACATACTGCCCTAAGGTGATACCATAATTAAATCAGGGGAGCGCAGGAAAATTACCTATCAGATCAATGGATAAGGGAAGAGTTTATGGCCAAACAAGAGATGGGAAGATCTACCTATCCTCTTTATAGAGGTAAAATGGATAATTTTGGTTACATGAAGTTAAAAAGCTTTTGCGCAAACAAATGAAGGCAGCCAAAAGTAGAAGGAAAACAGGAAACTGAGAAATAAAATTTATAGCAAGTTTATCTGATAAAAGTCTCATTCCTCAAATATATATAGAACTGATCCAAATTTATAAAAATAAGAGCCATTTTCAATTGATAAATGGTCAAAGGATATGAACAAGTAGTTTGCAGAAGAAGAAATCAGAGCTATCAATAGTTCTATGAAAAAATGCTCTAAATTACTAATGATTAGAGAAATTCGTATTAAAACAACTCTGAGGTACCACCTCACACCTATCTAGATTGCTAACATGACAGGAATGGAAAATGACACATGCTGGAGGAAATGTGTAAAAATATGGACTCTAATGCACTGCTGGTAGAGTTGTGAACTGGTCCAACCATTCTGGGGAGCAGTATGAAACTATGCCCAAAGGGTGATAAAACTGTGCATACCCTTTAGCCCAGAAATATCTCTATTAGGTCTATAGCCCAAGGAAACAAAAAAAAAAAAAAAGGAAAAGTACTTACATACCCAAAAATATTTATAGCAGTTCTTTTTGTGGTGGCAAAAAATTGGAAATTGAGGGAACGTCCACCAATTGAGGAACGGCTAAACAGGTTATGGTATACGATTGTGATGGAATACTATTATGCTATAAGAAATGGTGAGAGGTTTCAGAAAAACCTGGAAAGACTTACATGAACTGATGCAAAGTGAAGTGAGCAGAACCAGGAAAGCATGGTACACAGTAACAACAATCCTATAATAATTATCATCTGTGAAAGCCTTAGTTACTCTTCTCAGCACAATGATCTAAGACAATTCCAAAGGACTCACAATGAAAAATACTATGCACATTCAGAGAGAGAATGGATGAACACAGTGCAGACTGAAGCATATTTTAAAACTTTGTTTTTCTTGCCTTTTTTTTAAACAACAAGGCTAATATGGAAATGTGTTTTACGTGACTTCACATGTATTCTATTGCCTGCCCCTTCTCAGTGGATAGGAGGGGGCCTGGAAGAAGGGAGACAATTTGGAACCCAAAATTTTAAAAATGAATGTTTACAAACAGACAAATGAGAACATAATGGAATATTACTGTCTTGTAAACAACAGTAACTGTGGTGAATATAGAGAAGCATGGAAGGCTCACACGGACTGATGAAGTAAGTGGACCCAAGACAGTAATATACACAGTGACGACAACAATGTTAACGGAAAGAACCTACACCTCAAAATAAGGAATGAACGGTGCAGGATTACAGGGAACAAACATGACCCCCAGGGAAGAGACGGGAGAAGATACCTCTCCTAACTTCTCTG